TATAACCATGGGTTGAGGAATCCGAGACCAGCTTTACCGGCGGCAACACGGTTGGAGTTGATGAGTTGGATTACGGAACTGAAGGTTGGGGTTGCGCAAGAGGTACCGTCGACGAGTTCGGCACTACCGGAAGCGACGATTACAACTAGAGAGATGTTAGTGAATGATATCAAGAAAAAGGGGAGGGGCTTCTTACAGTTTGTGGCTTGAGCGGAAACATCGGGGTAGGCACGACCAGATGCGTTGAAGTATTTTGTTACTGCGCTGTGGGTGGTGTCGGTCGTGAGCCAAGAGTTGACAGCGGTAGTTTGGTAGGAAGGTTGTCCGAAAACAGAGGAGAATCCTCCACCACCATCAGTCCAAGCGGCCCTATTGAGAGTTAATATTTTCATTCTTACAATTATCTTGTGGGAAATATGACTTACTCAGGACTGTTACCAGTAGTACCACCTACAACGGTCACCCATGGGCAAGAAGCTGGGAAACTAGTGGTGAAACCTTTCGTGGTTCCAGTGGTAACGCAAGTAGTTCCTACACCGGAATCTCCGGACGCAACGAGAACGGATACACCACGAGCACCAAGTTGGGAGAAGAGATTGCAAACTTCATCGGCGTAGCTCAAGGGAACAGTGTCTTCATCATCACCGTAGGAGATGGAAATGGTTTGTGGAAGGGTAGTAGCGGCGAGGAGGGAGTCAAGGAATTCTAGGTAAGGTTCGTTGGTGTTTGAACCACTACCTACGATAGGGGGAGATCCGCCAGTTGAGTAGCTTTGAAGCGTTAGTAAGTTCTGTCAAATGGCACACTTAAAAATAGATCAATATAAAACTCACTAGACGTTGGGAATCTCTGATGTGATGGCTCTAGCATATTGAACATCAAGATTGGCCTCAATACCTGGGTAACCACTACCACTTGATGGGCAAGTTCCTCCATTGATAAGGGTACAGGTGTAAGTATATGCCTTATTGGCGAAGTATGCATAGTTGTTCATGAAGGTGGTCAAATCTGTCTTGGATGGCCATTGCTTCAAAAATCCAGCGATTCCTATTGAACCACTTGTCAATGTAGCTGGGGCGGAAGTGAATGAGTAAAGGTTGGCAAGACATGTTGGGGTGATGGTGCTACCACTGCAACCTGTGACAGCTTCGGTACCCTCAACATTCAGCACACTTTCGTCAAATTCCTGATGTTGCTTAATGTTGGAACGCATTGCACGGAGACCAAAGAAGGTTGTTGGTTGAACAATATCAACGTGGCCCTTCAAAGCATCAGGGAGACTATATTCGAGAGTTCGGATAGCACCCTCGTACAAACCAGTGTGAACTAAAAGACATTAGAAACTGGAATCAATTACGGCGACATCGATAATTTACCATAAGCGTTGTACTCCGCTTGAAGAAGCTCCTCAATCTGGCTGATACTTGCTTCTACAATAACAGAGTCACCACGTGCTGAGACAGTTGTTTGGTTTGTCAAGCCTGCAGTTGACAACCATTGTAACACAAGGTCACGCGATTGTGTCTTTGGTGCGATCATTTCATTGATCACCATTTGGTCAAGATGACGTCCATAAAGGGCGTGTCCAGGGGTAGCGATCTTCGGGAGGTTAGCCTAGATTCGCTTCTATATGAAAATACCTAACAATTAAGAAGACTTCTTCTCATATACAAATCCAGCATTACATGTGACATGTGAGGAATGGGAAATCATACATCCATGGCCATCTTGTGAAATTCTGGCATGTTCTGTGCAATCAAATGCAACCTCAACTTCATCGTTGATACATCTTTGTCGAACACGGCATCCTCATCCAATTCCCAACCTGGTGGTGGAGCAGCGATCTTCTCGAAAACGCTGGATTTGCCGAACGTGGGTAATGCTTGGACTGCCGACGCAGCAAATGCCACGGAGAAAATATTGAGGAGAAGCATCTTGCCGAAGTAAGAATGATTACAACGAAGAAGACGTTGACGAAGAACTGCGGCATCATGGCATACTTATGCCAATACTAGCCAAGGGAAAGGCGCAAGCTTGTGCGAGACAAGCTTGCGGCATCGCCACGGTACCTGCTCCTCTGAGCCAATAGTGAATTTATTGCTTGCATTACGAGCTGCCTTTTGGAGTTTCTTTATCCTTCATATCGTTACAATCGCCCACACATGTTCTCTGCATTAATTTAAGGTTATCTTGTATCTCCATGATCATTGGACGATGCAATATATGAGGCGTGGGTGATTGACGGATCGCCACGGCGGTGTGACTGCGTTAGGAAAGTCATTAGTGAATCGGACGCTTAAATTGAGCTATGTATCCTAAGTGGGGAAACTCTCCTTCCGCATGTTTGAAGATTGCCGAAAGAAGGGGAAGGTCATAGAGCTCAAATCCTACTTTGTAATGAAGTACCGCAATTGTTAACGTAATTCTCTACCATAAAGAGAAATAAAGAGGACGCTGTGGTAAGGCGTTAGAGAAAAGTCCGGATTGATAAATATAGTTGTAACTTTTTATGTAGATGAATCGAATGTTTTTCGATTTGTGGGACTAGTGAAAAGGAACTTCCTAATTAGGTCGCTGTAAAAAGGTGTCATTCAACCATCACGATAATAATCCTTAGTTGCAGCAAATTATCATTGGCGAGAGATTAGATCAAATATCGCAATTCACTACTAATCACGCAACTTGGTATCTGGTATCTGATATCAATTTCTTCAGATGTTATCTTGAAAGTTTGCAGATAGATCGAGTAAAGTTATCGATTTCCGATCTATATTCAATTCCATTCTCAAATCAATTATCTCTGAATAATTGACGAAGATTTATCTTCAAAGAACGACCTCATGTGCAATATAAATATCGATCAGCCAGTGCTATTCATTGCAGAAAATAATATAAACAGTTACATATGGTATATTCAAGTGTTGATTTCCCACTCAAGAATCCGGCCAGTGACTGGAGGGTGGTTCATTCGAAACATCAATAACTGAGGTCGAATCCGATAATGCGGACTTGTATTAAGACATATAAGACTGTCTCAACGTTGGATTTAATCAACCGCCGGATTATTGTACACTGTCGCAAGAAAAAGATACCAAAGCAGATAGAATCGGTTAAGATCATGATCACCTTCGATTGTGCGAAATTTTGTAGATACAAGGCAGCAAATCTCCCAACGGTAAATACGAAACAGCAACGATGACTATAGACAAACCCTGTGGTTAAATTCAGATAATAGAGATCAGTTGACAATACGTACGTTGTACGAAGCTAACATAATAGAGGAACAATGAGGTCGTCATCCGTCATACTTGTAACCTCAGAACATTGAAGATATCATCTCCGAAGCTTGAATAGACAGGATACATTGCGAGATTACAAATAACTTGGCTTAGAATAGATCGCAAAGCAAAAACGAAAGGACGATGCTTGATTGTCGAAGGCAACACCACTTTTCTGGACGTTGAGTTACTACTCAATCGAGGGGTGAATGTGCAACTATGCAGTCGTCATTTGAGAATGGAAATTCACCACAAAACATACTTCATATTGATGCTATCATCAAGGCTGTGCTATGATTCAAAAATGTGAGCCTATGCAGAGGAAGCAGAGAACAGCAAGCAGAGATGCAGAGCTTTTGATTTCCGATCAGTGGCCCCGAGATCTGGTGATTTGAGTTTGCCCACAAGAATATATTAGGAATATCTGATCTGTACTTGCGGTGACCTAATTTCTTTCCAGTACTCAATTTGATAGAGTAAATTTTTCAATTCTCACGAGCGGTAGCACAAAGCAAGGCAACCATCATATCGAAGAAACTGACAAGAATACAAGCATCAATCTCAAATAAGGCTGACGAGAGTGATGTCTATGGTGGTTCTCTTTGTGGATGTTCTGAGCTAGATGAGGCAGTGGTAGGTAGTAGGTAAGTTTGCTCAACGATGCAAGAATCTTTGAATGAACGATGTATCTTTTTGACGACTGATTTCCCAATGAGTGAGTAAAGAAAAGACAATTGAGTCAACTCGGTGACTCAACTCGGAAGGCATCAAAATAATAGTCGGTTTATATCAATCGTACTCACAATCCCGACTCATCACATGACATACTGGTGCTTCATTGAAGAAAAAAATGTATGGGAAGCAGCAGGTGCTTATTAATTTGTCCACTTTATTGACCCACTTGAGGCCGTCTTGACCAAATCTAAACTCAATACAGCCAAGTTTGTCACATTTGCAGTAATCAGCCCCAAATTTCCCACTAGCGAAAATGTATAAAGTCTCCTCTTCTCCCTTTGAATTCCCTTCTTTTTTCTTCATCTTAGTGCATGGGTTTTACGCATATCAGTGAGGATTCGTCCGAGATTGCGTTTTTGCTAGTTGAAAACTATAACCATGACCACTCCAGGTTGGCTTCGGCTGGCCTGGGAATCTTTGGAACCAAACACCTTCTCGTAAGAGATCTATTTTATTGTTTTTCATTGCGGTTCGGCTTCTTGTAGGCTGACGTGAAGAAGAATTGTTGAGGGCCTTGTCCTGATGACGAGGAAGAGATATGCGGAGAGGCTACATGTGGAAGAAAGGCTGACGAGATTGATTTTGTATGTAGCATGTAATTGAAACCACATTCTTCACCACAGATGAATGCTTTGGTGTTGTGCTGATGATTTTGATTGTGTTGTCATGATTTGTAGGGTATTTATCTGCAGTAGGTAGCTGTCGAGACTACTATTGTGCCAACACCATATGAAGAGAATATCATCATTCGGAGGGCATCATAGCAAATGATTCCACATGTAAGTCTATCTATTATTATCATTGTTGTTGTTGTAGATACGCTTCTAATCAAGCCATTTGCGAATCCCACATCGATGATGTAAATGTGCTTGTTATATTCAGCACACCCAGCAAATCAGGAAGGTCGAAGAACAAGCACAATAACTTTGTCAACTCAACCCACTATCCCCCATCTCGATATATCACAACCACATCTATATATTCATCATGACGAAGACCGCACTCATTACAGGCGCAACCGGCTTACTTGGCAGACAAGTTCTAAAAGTATTCGATCGAGAAAATTGGAATACAGTTGGCGCCGGATTCTCGCGCGCAAAGCCTCCTACCATTCTCAAGGTAGATTTGGCTTCCGAGTCTGAAGTTTCAAAGGCGTTGAATGAATCCAAGTAATGTAACATCTTCACGTTTTTCAATGCAATGCTGACGGTGAGACGGTTTGAAGACCTCGAGTCGTAATTCATTGTGAGTTTCTATTGACACTGCTATCTCATCGTCGCTGCCATTACTAACCCCGCAATTACAGGTGCAGCGAATAGATTCCCAGACAAATGCGACAGCGATCCTGAAGGAACACGCGCTCTCAATATTGCAGCTTCTGCTTCATTGGCAAAACTTTGCGCCGAACAATCCATCCTCCTTATCTACATATCGACCGATTATGTTTTCCCCGGCACCGAAGGTGATGCTCCTTACGAGACAAGCCATACCGTAAAACCCCCGAATCTATATGGAGAAACAAAATATGAGGGTGAAAAAGCCGTGTTGGCAGAATATGAGAAAGCAGGCAAATCTGGTCTAGGAGTGGTCTTGAGAGTTCCTGTACTCTACGGAGAAGGTGAACCTGAAGAAAGTGCAGTTGGTGTACTTGTCAACTCGGTCTGGAAAGCCCAAGAAAAAGACGCCAATATCAAAATGGATCACTGGGCCCTGCGCTATCCTACCAATACAGAAGATGTAGGTCGAGTTTTGTCAGAGATTGCAACCAAATATCTTGAAAGTAAAGACCCATCATCTTTACCACGAGTCTTGCAATTTTCTTCCGAGGATAAATTCACAAAATATGAGATCTGCCAACTATTTGCGGAGATTTTAGGCTTGCCTTTGGATGGTATGGTGGCAAATACAGAGGGGAATGATCCAAATGCTAGTGTGCAGAGACCTTATGATTGTCATCTGTCTACGAAGGCATTGAAGGACCTGGGAATCAATGTTGCTACGATGGATTTTACCGGTTTTTGGAGGAGGGAGATGAATGCTTTTAGGAAGTAGGGAAGCATCAGGCTGGGATGCAAAGGTAGTGACTGAATACTCTCCCATATACGACAATAGTAGTGTTCTCTCACCCAGAATTACATCATTGGCCAAATTCGTACCGCAATGGAAGATCTAGGAACAACGTCTCGTGTTTCAAGACTGGAAGTTCTAGTAGTTTAATGTCCTTCAATGGCTATCATTGGCAAAATGATACAAGATCTTTCGAGTCTTTCCTATTTTCTTTCCTCTTTTTAGACAGCGCTAGGTAATGCCTTTCCAATTGAGAGCCCGATTCTAGTAGCTATGAAAAAATTAGGCTGATTCAAAGGTTTGTGTGCTTTCATATACTCTAATAAAGTATCTATACCAAGAAAGGAAAGCAATGGCATCGTGAGCTAGTGTTCATAGTAGTACTTGCAATTAGAAATCCAGGAATATGTGCTTCTTTTTTATTAACTTGCAGTAACAGCCATAATCCTGATGTACCCATGGAAAGTCGCTACGGGGTACCTTGTTGACAGTCATTCGAGATAGCTTCTTGCTCGGGCACTGAATTGCAGTGATGTATTCATAATTCTTTGGATTTTTATGATCTTCTCATTCGAGACGGATCATGGGGTTGACACAAGTGAGGGGCCTTTCGGGACGCGAGATGGGAAGAGCTTTGAGATCAAGTAGGAAATATGTGAATGGGGTCAACGGCCGGTCAACTTGGTCCAACACAAATAATTCGACTTGCATACATGTCGATGTTCATGTCAAACCTCTTCTTATCCTCCGGCGTGCACGTAGTAGATGCGGCGCATGGTGTACTACATTTGGAACATGCCATTTAGATCGGTCGACATCGGGTTCCAAATCTTCTCTTACCTAGAACGAGAACGTCTGATAGCTGTTTCCGCAAATCAACCTCAAGACCTGTTACTTGGTCATGTATGAAACAGCCGGTGATACTTGTAAAAAGAACAGCAGCGCGGAGAACAAAGCCGAGATATCCAGATTCTACCGCGTGTTTTGCAACACGAAATTGGTTCATCCTCTTACGGAAACAATCTCTCCCCAAGCTTGCCAAGTTAAACCAGCGTTGATCTTCCTTGTTCTTAGACGCCATGTTGTTTAGCGTCTAAGGAAATGACAGCATATGAGAGAGGCTTTGTTTTTTTGTTTATATCGATGGTATGCTTTACATTGTATCCTTGTAAAAAGCACCTGAGACCCCACTCCTTCTATTTTTTGAGAAGCTGTGATGATCACCCCTTACCCTTTTTCTATTCCAAAAATAAATCTCTGATTTAGGGATCAGACAGACATCTCATACTTCTCACGTCCCTCTGCTGGGCATTTTCATGCAGTCATATCGGCGATGATTCTGCTAAACCTGGGGCAAAAGCTGAGATCTATCTCCAGGTATCTCTTGCAGATGCTATTTGCCATGATTCATTGACACGTAACCATCACTCTTAATCTCAAAAGAAAATCCACAACACCTCGAGTAAGCGGCTAATGCTCATCGGCTAGAGAAGGTCTGGCCGACGACTAAGTGCTCAAGTCTTTGCAGTTCTAAAGATAGAGCGAGATAAAAGTGTGTACCTTCTTCAACTAGAAGCATCATTTACCCAGTCTAGTGCAGATGACGCCAATTCTTTAAAGTTATGCTTGGGTGCCACGAATCATGAAAGGCAGCGGCGCTATGCTCGAATATGGCTTAGTATGTCAGCTACATAATAGATCCGGACTTGACCTGAGGTGCCACGATACACGTATCAATATTAGTGCCTATCTTGGAATTGAAGCTTGAAAATTTCTATATTTCAAAGTCTCGTAAATTCCTACCTTGTGCTTCTTGGGAGCTTGCTTCTATTTTGCACTGTTTATTATACAACTCCATTTCAATCAATCTCAATCTGGCTTATGTCACAATGGCTACTACGCGTATCGCAGAGCTCGCTACTCAAGTCGCCGAAAATACGAAGAGAGTCGACGAGTATCTTCGCCAACATGAATTACCCTCACCGTCCTTTGATGCTGAAGGACCAGTTGACTTTTGCATCCGATCAGAAGAAATACAACGGGCTCGTAGCCTGGCGATCGACGGTGCAACAGAACTGGCAGATTTATTGAGGGGTCCCAAAGAGTCTTTACAGCCTGTGGCAAGTACAAATTGCATAGCCATTTGACTAGAGTCTGATTGATGATAAGAATTTCGCAGGTCAATCCTACTAGTCTTCAGGTTATCCATAGGTTTGATATTGCAAGAAAAGTGCCAATTGGGGGTGAAATAACCTTCAAAGATCTGGCCAAACAATGTGATCTCTACGAGCCAGACCTTCGTCGCATCATACGTTTTGCAATCTCATTTCATAGACTCTTTCAAGAACCGCGTCGAGGTTTTGTAACTCATTCAGCAGCTTCCCGCAAGTTGGCGGAAGATCAAGATTTCCATGATGCTTTGGGTCTGGTTTTCAATGAGTTCGTTCCATCTTATGGACGGGTCAGTCTCTGTCTCAAGTTCGAAGTTTTCAAAAGCTAAGTTATATCTTAGACGGTCGATGCTTTGGAACAATTTAAAGACCAAGAGCCAAGCCAAACTGTTAGTTCTACGGTCCTCTGTTTCTTCATTCATGATCGAGAGATGTAGTGAATAGTCTAGCAAATTGTCGATACTAATATGGTCTTTTTGAAACTAGGGATTTGCGCTTGTGCAGAACACCACGCAACCTTTCTTCGAGTACATGGGGATCATCCCACAAGGGCTAAGCAATTTGCCGGGGCTATGAAAGCCTTTAATGCCATAGATTCTGGACACTCTCCTGTTTTTCTTGCTCAGGGTTATCCATGGGATTCTATCAACGGCACCGTCGTCGACGTTGGTGGTTCGAAAGGTCACATTAGCATCTTACTTGCAAAGAGTTTCCCTAGGCTGCATTTCATCGTACAAGATCTTCCCAAGGTTATCGAAGGTGCAAAATCGAAGCTTGATGCTAGTATTGCGGATCGTGTGACGTTTCAAGGGCGTGACTTTTTCACTCCGCAAACCGTGGTGGCCGATGCATATCTGTTCCGCTGGATCTTCCACAACTGGCCTGATAAGTATGTTGTCGCTATCCTGCGCACTCTTGTTCCGGTGATGAAAACTGGCGCTCGGGTCATTGTGAATGAGCTTTTGAATCCGCCTTCGAATTCTCTTTCACTTTCCAGTGAACGTTCCATTCGGTACGACTCCTATTATTACCCATGTGGCTGAATAATCCAAATTTTCAAGCTGACAAAATTTACTAGTTCTCTCGATATGATTATGCTGAGCATGCATAATTCTAGAGAACGAGAAGCGGAAGAGTGGCAGGATCTTTTCCTTGAAGCTGATCCTCGTTTTGGGGTGTTGAAAATTTGGACGCCGATCGGAGCATCCCTTGCTATCATCGAGGCTGTCTGGCAAGAATAACCATTGGAATTGCTCAATTTTGACTCGATTTTTGATGAGCTTGTTAAGTAGAGTTTTGTGGATATGCGTCGTTCTTCGACTGATAATGACTTGCGCACTGTTTGGAAGGGACAATGTAGAAGTAGATAACATTAAATCTTAACCATATTCTATTTCCAAATTTCTCAGTATTCGTTCCTTTTCCAGATATTCATTAAATTGAGCCAAATTTCTCCTTGCTTGGGATATGTAGTTGAAGATGCACAGAGACTTCCAAGGTCTTGATGTATCACAACTCCTTACGATGCATTAGAGGCCATTTCTCATAGGAAATGCTCACCAATTGAGTGGTATTATAGCGCAAAGATACCACGAGTCACATGTATGCATGGTTCTCATGGAATTCACCGATTAGGGATCGGTAACCGGCTCGAAAGGCATCGCATGAAAGCTCATTCAACGGAGTAGCCATCGATTCATTTACAACATTTATATTTGCGGCGTCTTCAATCCTCTGCATCATTTGTATACCCATGAACCATATCCTCGGAAACGACGAAAACACTACAATTAAATAGCGTCACATGGGTGATGTGTTGATCTTACCGGACACACCGTACCCCTGACAGTTTGCGAGTCGATAAACGTTGAAGTTGAGATACGATTTCGAGACGCCACAAAATATACAATTCATTCACTTTATCTCTTGATTAACAAGTACCTGCTTGATTAAGCATTAACTTCACAACTGAGCATGCGCCTTTCGCAGGTTGGTACGTTTGCCGAGCTTATTTAGACGTCTCGAGAGGTGGTCTTCGCGAACCATACAACTTCAAAGAGGGGGGATGATACCACATCACTGTCGTTACTCGAGGATATATCCTCACATGGATAGTAAAGCCCTTTGCAAAGAGATTATAGCAGAAAATCTCTCGAGGTACGTAACGAGACAAGTCGTATATTATTGCCTCCGCATCACAACCCCTTACTAGTTTCATCTCGGACATAATTGGCCAGTTTGGAATTACATACATGAGAACTTCAAGAATATCTAGTATGTCCTTTTCTTAATGAAAACTTGTTGTGTGTGGGGGAACTGATTTTTTTTAATTTTTATTTAATTTTTTATTTTTTTAGAAAGATGAGATTGAGATTTACTTGATTATGAATATGTTACTAAATACTAAATAGTTACGCTTTTTGCTCAGGAAAGAATCTATTTTTAGCATATTGTCGGGATGATCGTGATCGCCGTCGGTGCTTACAGTATCGTCAGCCTCGTCATCTGCACCCCGCGATCTTAAACCCCGCTCCAAGTGTGATATTATTTCTCACTCTACCACCTCCCACTTTGGCAACTCTCACAGGTACAAGTTACTAAAGACATTAGTCGTTGTTCAGTATTATTCAGCGACAGATTTCTTAAACATAGGTAGACGCTTTGGTTTCTGGACTGTCTAGAGTCACCCGTATCATTAGTGGTGCAACCTTTACCTTGGCACCGCGTTCTTCATCTCACGGCTCAGATGGCACACGCCTTGCAAAAAGAAACCCGCAATCATCAACGGACGACGCAAAGCAGCAATCAGGTTGGTACGCCGATCTTTCAGAGTATAAAAGCATGTTGACACTGTCACAGGAACTCGACAGCCAAAAACTTCTCGAGGCTCCATCAATTTCGATTGATCTCGACGCCTGTAATCAGCATAATGAAGTCGCCTCTTTCTCAGAATGGATGAGCGAGTGCGAAGCTTGCCAGAACATTTGGCGTTGTTTTTCACAGCCAGATTCGGCAAATCCGGTCAATCTGGGCTGTTTTACGGAGGCTCTCGCTACACAGTGCCGCGCACATAAGCCCCTAGTACAAGCTTTTGTTGACCACGTGCGCTCACGCGAAGAGCGCGACAATTTTTTAAAGGAAGAACTAGGTGACCTTTGCATCATCCGTAGAGGTTCAAACAGCAGCGTCAGGATTTCAGAGTCGATCTCAAAGTTATTTTTGTACTGGAATTTGTTGCTAGTGAGGAAGGAGTCTGTACCGCACCATCCTGGTACTGGTCGCATTCTAAACCCTGATTGGGTTGATGTAGAAATGCTGAATCGGTGGAAAAAGCAGTGTCTTTCAACACATGGTGCGGAATGCGAGAATCCGTGGAAGATTTGGCCGAGAAGGCCCGCTTTTTTGATCGACGTGAAGACCAAGTGCCTTGTAGCGGGTTGTATCTCTGGCGCTTTTGTGGCACTCAGTTACAGGTACGGGAGATCGCCTGTTCCTAAAATTGACGCCGTGATGCTTGAAAGGCTGCAGGAGCCGTATGCTCTGGATGCCCTGGAGTTTGAAGAATTTTTGTCGCCAGTGATCCGACATGCCATGTTCCTGACCTCGGTCATAAGCGAGCGGTATCTCTGGGCAGATGCACTCTGTATCCCTCACGCAAACGAGAAAGTCAGAGCTGAGGAATTGAACATGATGGGCGCCATCTACGGCAACGCAGTCGTCACAATTATTGCTGCAGATGGCGACGCACAAGATGGGCTTCGTGGTCTGGAAGGTGTTTCCCAATCCAGAGACATGAACCAACGCATTTTTCGTTTCGGTAGTGAGCAACTTATTGTGAGGAATACAGGTATTTTCAATTTATCGGATGGAGGCGATTATCATAGTCGAGGTTGGACGTTTCAGGAGCACCGTCTGTCAAGAAGAATGATAATATTCAAGAATGATGAGCTGCACTGGCAGTGTCAGTGTAGCGTTTGGCACGAAGAGATGATTCCTGACACAGAAATTGACAAATTCATCGGCCCACGGCAGAAATTCATCACGGCTGGCTTTCCTGATTTGTATTCTCTGGGCCATATCCTCTCAGAATTCAATAAAACAGAACTTCGGTACGACGAGGACGCTTTGCCCGCTATCTCTGGGCTGCTGTCAGTCCTGAGTCGTACATTCACTGGCGGATTCTTGTACGGCATCCCGGAGATGTTCTTCGAACGAGGATTAGGCTGGAGATCCTCCTCGGAGCACTTAAACATCCGAAGACGGAATTTTTCGGAATATTTCGGAAAGGACCGTCCGTCTCAGGCAGGCTTACCATCGTGGTCTTGGGTCGGCTGGCACGGTCTCGTTGACATCTTCGGGTACGGCGAAGCGGCTCTAATCAGTGTCAGAATAAATTGGAGCGAAGAAACAATTCCGATCACAGAGTGGTACACGAGCCAGTCTTCCAGCGACTTGCCGGAAAATAGAAGGAGAATCACGTCTACGTGGTTTGAAAATCGCGATAAGTACAAGGATTTTGCGAAGCCATTACCTTCAGGCTGGTCTTGCCACGACGCCTCCGACACAGGATCGGGCGGGCCTTACGCATACCCGGATGGGTGTGAGAAATACATTTTCAAACATGTGGACATGCTCGATGCTTACAGGGGATCGTGGTACTATCCATTCCCGGTCCCTGACATCCATAACTCGACGCCGCCAGTCATGCCAGAGCAGACATCCTATTTGTTTTGCAAGACTTGGAGGGCGCACCTCTGGGGACGACAAGCTGGCGAAGGAAACACTGCCAGAATTTTTAATAGCTCTGGGGAAGATATTGACACTCTGCAATTACACAATGAAGCTTCCCTGTTTCTCTTCCCAAGCATAGATTCCGAGGTTATTCACGGGTTGCCGGTGGACCTAGTAGCTTTGTACAAGTCACGAGTATATTCGAAGACGTGGAATGCAGGTCAAAGGAAGTATGGCCACCCATTGCAAAGAAAAGATGAGTATAAAGTATTATGGGTGGAATGGAAGGATGGTATTGCGTATCGCCTTGCTAGCGGGCAGGTGAAGGCAGAAGAATGGGAAAGGTTAGTTCCGGAGATCATCGACCTAATTCTAGGTTAGAGAGTAAAAAATAATGGTTGAATCGAATTTGGGAAGAGATTAATAGAGAAGTGTACCAATCATCGCTTGTTCCCTCAGTCGATTGAGGATGTTCTTTCGGTCTTACTCATCCTTTTGTTGATTTAGACGATCTATTCTCTTTGATAGTAGTGATTGTATTACTTTGCCGATTAATAATAATATTTCACCAGGTCGAATCTCCGCTATTTTCCCAGACACGTTCTTATTATTGACTGTATACTTTTCCCATCCAAGTCTCCTTTCTAAAGAATCATAGTAAAATGCGAATGTAAAATCAATAAATATCATTAAAAAAACTCTTATTTTTAATATACAACCTTCAACTCTTTGAATTTATCTCTCCACTCATCTCAATCTCAGTCTCAATGTTAATGTCAATCTTTCATTCCCTTAAATATCCCAAACCATCCAAATTTCCCAAGCATGATATTCGCACAAATGATATATATGTACCTACCTACCTGCATACCTACCATTCATCCAATCACTCCAACAATCCACTCACACTCACACACTCATTCCCATTCCCAACCATCCACCTCATCCTCTATCCCCTATCCAAAATCTCCCAAAGTACAAACCATCACTGCACAAACATACCTAGTATCCATCACGCAAGAATCCTAATCACAATCCCAATCACACTCATGATCATAATATTACCATTCAAGCACCCCCCTCCTACAAATACAGTGGTAAAATATAACGAGTATAGATGTATCTAGTACCGGGAACCTACTGGATACTGTGACATTATCGCACTTTGCTGGTGTGAATTTTGGGGAACGTGGTTGCTTGCTGTTAGAGATGTGGAAAGGGGGAAAGGAGGGAATGTGGAGGGGAGTATTCAAGAAGAGGAGAGGGAAGAAAGGAAAAAAGGATGTGATAGAGCGATGTGATTTTTGAATATGATAGGATAGAGACATGGACCAATAGAAGAATCGAAGAATCGAAGAAGAATACCGCGAGGATTTCCCCCCTTTTTTCGTGTGGTATCTTTGGGGCTATTATGGAGATAGGTAGGTAGGTAGGTAGGTAGGTGGGTAGGAGATCGCTTGATTATATTGATGATTGATATATGTTTTACCATCTACACACTTGCGATTGTGTAAACTGTGAGTGTGTAATTGTAATGGATTTAATGGGATTTATGAGATGTGTATGGATACCTCATTATGGGATTGTAGTGGGTGTATAATTTACCCATCGTCTGGTACGAATAATCACAATCAGATCAAAACATACTCAAATAACGATTTTCCCCGACGCGAAATCTTCCTCGTTGATATCACGCCAAGGATGAAGACGCAAAATCGCTTCTAATTGCCAGTACCCTCATCAAATCCACACATACACTAAATGTTTACTAAATCTCGCGATAGCCAGTAACCGATTCATCTTGAAAGGCGTCCGCTACATCGTATCATATCATATCTAGGTATTTCAGACCCATTCGTCTTCTGTCAAGATAGTAGATGGCAGATACTACGTTCACTAACTACACTACACTACGCTCACTACTCTCGGGTTTCATTGTTCATTGATGGAGAGAATAGTAGGTATCAGGTAAGTAGAAAGATGGGTAGATATTAATAGTTGATACATACCTATCTATATACCTACCTACCTACCGACCTACCCACCTCCTCCGACACACGCACAACACCCAACCCTCCCAAGACGGCAAGAGAAGCATCAGAGAAGCATCAGAGAAGAATCAAAAAAGACTTGATACCCATATCAAATCTCCAAATCTCAAACCCAATCGATCTACTCTCTCTAGTTGCTCATCCCAATTTCCGGGCGGGAGAAACAGCGTTCCGCGATGGTTGTGTTATGTTACGGAGGAGCTAGGTCGCTAGCTAAGTTTATTCTCCGTTTGATCTGATCTGATCTGATCTGATCTGATGGATTAATGTCTATCTAGGATCTATCTATTGATAATTTGAGATGGATATTGAGATGGATATGGAGAGGGAGAGAAAAAGCTTATATGTGATGATCTTTGATCGATGCGAATTTGATCAGGATTTGATTTGATTTGGACGTGTATTTTTATTTTGGAATTTAGAATTTAGAATTTAGAATTTAGATTTTAGATTTTAGAATGAGAAGAAGTAAAATGAGATAGGTAGGTAGGTACGTGAGGTACGCTATGATACAGACATGCCGAGAAATGTCGAAATGGACGGATGGTTCATGATACTTACCAGGTACCTGGTGATAAGTAGCTAGAAGCGCACGCATGACTTGTATTGGTAATTGAATCAATGATGAAGGTTCTAATTTATTTTCCTGCTCTAGAGGTGTTGGGTATAAGTGTTGGGTATAAGTGTTAGATATAAGTGTTAGGTATAATTATTAGCTATAACTATTAGCTACTGCGTATAGTTACTGAAAATCAAGCTAAAACTGCAAGGGAGAAGAGGAAGAGGATTCATTCATTCCTGGCTGATACTTTACTTTGGCGCGCTCTTGGAGATGAGGGGAAGTTTTGATTGGGTTGGGTTGTTTCCTCGTCTGATCTGATCTGATCGGATCTCTAACCATCAGTGTGATGTGATGAGATGGGATGGGGATCAATGAATTGTGTTGAATGGACTGAATGGATTCCATGACCATCTTTGAGCCATCATGTTTCTTGGCAGTGTTTGGGTGTTATTGGTGTTGATGTGTGACCATATGGACTGGATGATGCAATTTCGAGGGTCGTGGTACATCATGGTACATCAGTGTGAGATCTTGTGATTCCATGTGTGAAATGGAGTGATGGTACTGGGTATGCTGCACTATATTCGGGAGGTGGGTAGACAGACGAGACAGGGAGATAGATATCTTAGTTTTCGATCGGATGACTTGGTGCTCTACTATATCGACTCACGGTGTTGCCGGTATTTGCTTTTGTGTTGATATCGATTATGATATTGGGATGGATCGGTTTTTAATTAGCAAGCAAGACATTGGGGAGGAATTTGGGAGGAGATTGGATGGGAGGAGATTGGATGGGATTGTCGACAGAGCGATGATGAATGAATGAATGAATGAACGAAGAAGGTTTCGCGCGCACTGGGCATTTGTTTATTGATAATTAGGTATCGACGGGCTATGGGAAGGTTTACTTCTTTTACGGTGAGGAAACTATTGATGGGTCGCAGAGAGAGAAATCACTTGGCCATCCATCCCAGAATGTTTTATGCCTTTAAGATGTGTAATATACATGTTGTATATCCATAACATTGCGATTAATATACGAGATGAACAGGAATACCCCATTTTCCCGAATGTTGGTTTCATCATGTAATAGAGTGGGCGAGTGGATATGCATGGTACCCAGACCTACCGCCGACAGAGTATGTAGGGTACAAACTTTCATCCTCTGATTCCTGCTGGGTGCAGAATCAGTGTGAGGAAGTCGGATATCATTGGTTGCATCAGCCTTGTCAACGACTTGTCAACCAGGGTTACATATTCCCCCTGGTCTCTCTGCTATGAATGGGAATGAATGTGAATGAGAAACAAGACTGGAGACGGCCTCCCCTCCCCTGTTTCCCTTAGCTCCAAGGGAAATTCCCCCACATTACTCGGGAGATCATCTAACTTTTTGGTAGGGGGGAAGGGGAAGGGGAAGGAGAAGGGAGAGGGAAAGGGAAAGGGAAAGGGAAAGGGAAAAGGAAAGGGAAATGCAAATGCAAAATCATAATCATAATCATAATCATAATCATAATCATAATCATCAGATGGGCCAAGGATAAGGACAAGACAAGTTCAAGGTCCAAGCAACTTCACAGTCCAAGCCAAACATTCCATTCCTTTCCAATCCCATTCCACGGGAGAATTAAGGTCGAGTGGGAAAATCAAAAGAAAAGGTACTTTTTACTCATCGGGATACCTAGTAAAGTATGGTCGTAGTCGTGGTCGTGGTCGTGATCTTGTGATGGTCTGTTGTTTATTGATTTAATATTGTGATGTGGTCAACGGATGAGTGAATGGAGGAGAGAAATGAAATGAGACGAGGTGAGATGAGATGTAGAAGGAGAAGTACAAGTACGAGTAGAAGAAGAGGAGGGAGAAGCGGGAGGAGGGGGAGAAGCGAAAGATTATATGTTATGTTATATGTTGTGTGTTATAATGATTATTTATTTACCACATATTTACTCTCTATTTACCATTTATTTACTATCTATCTATTCACCCTCCATTTACTACATCCCTATCACATACCAAGATACTTGATGTTATATTTACCAAATTTATTAAAATTACGCTCCTTCATCATTCATTCATTCATTCATTCAACCCACCACCCACTCACTCACTACCTTACGCTTCACCCACCACCCACTCACTACCCTACCCTACCCTTCACCCACCCACCAAACCCTCAACCCACCATCCACCATCCACCATCCACTCATCACCCTCATCCTCTCACCCACAGCCCCGTCTAGCACTGCTTTTATAATCTGCAGGTACATGATTTATTAAGTGGGTGGTCATACATTTCAAATCTGGGGGTAAATTCGATTCATTCATTCAATCAATTCATTCGTTCATTCGTGCATTCGTGCATTCATTCACTCATTCACACATTTCAATTCTTCTTACACCATAATAATACCTGGGTACTTGTCACTCAAACATATCTACCTACTACTCATTCTACAAGATCAATTCCTTCTTACCCCTCACCTCCACTCTCCTCTCCTCCTTCTCCTCAATTCACTTGATTCTTCATTACTCTTTCCATCACTCCAACGGGGAAAATAATGCCCATAAGAGTAATTACTAAGTCTTCGATACATCATAGAACCACCCTTTATTACTTATGATTCGCAACTTCTTGATTTCATCACTTTTTACTTCCTGATTATCCTCTTTGTTTCGTTTCATATCATTCCATTCATCATGTCGGAAGAAAAGATTCATCCCCCTCCACCTTCACAACCCACACAACAAAAATATTCGAGGTACAGATCAGTAAGAGCCTTACCATCCAAACCCGATCCCGCACCTCCCAAACAAGATGTTCAACAAAATCAAAATACTTCCTTGTCGAGGACAAAAAGTATGTCAAGATATCGACGTCCGAAGGTGGCCCCCCAATCCGATCATTCACCCCCAGTACCCTCATTACCTGTCTCGCATGTCCAATCGACATCTCCAAATCCCGCCGCGAGAATTCCAATGACGAGGCGAACAACGGATCCAGTTGATTCTGCCATTGGCCTTCCCTCAAGCTATGCGCAAACGAGACGCCCCATTCCCAAGCGATCGCAAACCCACTTGGGAGCGACGGGGGAATCTCACAATTACGACGAGCGACAGCAGAGTTGTGAACCAAATTACAATAGTGACAATGGCATAAATCAACAGATACTCTTCTCTCCATCGCATTCCCCTCCCCCGGTTTCTCTCCCGGTTCAATTGAGTGACGAGGAGACGGAGAGGATCTTGGCAGAACAGAAGCGCAAGGATCTGGAGCGATTGGAAGCAACGTTGGATGCTGCGGCAAATGACTCGGTCAAAAGCCCTCCTCAAAAGTTTGCATTTTTTAGTAGTAAGAGACGTGCTACTACAACCACCAAGCCTCCGCTACCTTCTGTCTTGGACAATATTGCATCAATACAGCGGACGATAGGTGATGGCCCCCCCAGAAATGATGCGCCTGTCATCAATCCTGTTGGTATACAACAGGGTGGAGGAGGAATAGTACCGCAAACTGATGCTCCAATTTCAGCATCAAATGCGCCGGAGAGGGTAAGTCTACTATGTCCAATTCAAAAACCACACTGACTTTTTTTATTTCATAGAGAATTTTAATTCGCTGTAAACAGTCATCAATCAATCTACCAGTCGACGCAGACACGACTCCCATGGATATTATAAATTCTGCTGCAAATATCATGTCGACCCATATCGATCCACACACTGCTGTATTATTGGAGTCATACACAACTCTTGGTCTAGAGCGCAAAATTCGTCGTTATGAACATATTCGAGATATCATGAATTCTTGGGATAGAGATACACAAAATTCTTTAATTGTGGAAGGTTCCGATGCTTATGATCATGAAGAAGACCTTGACGCATCATCGGTACCCACAGATGCGCCTCAAGATGTTACGGTGCAGCTTTATCATTCTCAGAAACCTGGCAAATGGAACAAACGTTATATTACACTTCTTTCTTCCGGTCAAGTATTTGTCTCGAAAAAGTCGGGGGTGGGTATCAACGATAAAGATTCAATGAACATTTGTCATTTATCTGATTTCGATATCTATACCCCAACAGCGCAACAAATTAGGAAAACACTCAAACCACCAAGGAAGAATTGTTATGCTATCAAGAGTCAACAGAAAACGGCCATGTTTTTGAGTGCCGAAAATTTCGTACACTTCTTTTGTACTGATGATCACATTGCGGCAAATGCGTGGTATTCAGCGGTTCAGAGATGGAGAAGTTGGTATTTGGTTAATAAGAAGGGTGAAGGTCAGAAGAAAGCTACCAAAACTGTCAAGACGATGAAAGCAAAAATTGCATCAGGACCAGGAACGGGAGTCAAAGGTGTTCACACACATAGGGTAAATGTTTCGGTGGATGAAGATCCATACATGATTGGATCATTTAAACCATTACTCGATATGGACCGATTCGATAAATCAGAAGCAGATGATTCAACCGAGGATGAAAGGCCAATGCAAATTCCTTTTCATCTACGAAATACATCTGCAATAGCACCTCTTCCTCGCCTCGTACAAGAGAGACAGCCGATAGCATACCGAGCACCACCTCAAGAAGATCAATTCGCATCGGGTGGATTATTAGGAAGAACATATTCAGTCCGTCAAAAAGCACTGCAGGATCGAGAGAATAGTCTCAAAAATGGATCTTTCACAGATGGTCCAACTCTCATCAATGGCAGCGCTCAATCTCGAACAATGTCGATGCCTACGAAAGCCAAACGTTTAGAAGTAGCTAATACAAGTCTTCAACGCAGTCCAAGCAGTAAAAAAACTAAACCGTTATTGGATTTTACGCCTCAATTTGAAGAGGCACCGCAGTGGAATAAAAAGGGCAAGGGTCATGGTGTAGCGGCTCCTTCAGGGTTATTATTGGTTGAGGCGGCGAATACGCCGGAGAGTGGCTTGAATGATATCCCAAAGGCAAATACAGTGTTTAGGAGAGAAACGACAACTCAGAGACCGAGAACAAGTACGAACGGAAGGGATAGAGGACAGTCGGGGACTAGGGAACCATTTATTAAGGGTGGATTGGTCGAGGGTTCATTGACGGGTGGTGGAAGAGATAGGGGAAGAGTGGGGTATGACTAAGATATTGGAGATGGAAGAGGTATTGAATTTCTTTTGTATGCGATGGATTTTTGGACCTTTGGGGTAGGGATTTGGCAATCAAAACTGGATGGAATTTCTGGCCGAATTGAGAAATTGGCTCGGGGGATATGTTTGGTTCTTTTGCGGGTGTTTATGAACGATTAGATACCAGTGAGATAGAGGAGATACCTAGGTAGCACTTTTGCAACTTTTGGCTCTGGATGTATGCTCGTTGTAGGTATACCAATTTGATGCGTTTATTTAGTTTTTGAATGTCTGAGGGGTTTAGTGTAAGATTTTGTGATTGAGTTTGTATTCTCTCTCTCTCTCTCTCTCTCTGTGTGTGTGTGTGTACGTGTGTGTGAAGATTCTGTATAGAAATTCTTTCTCGAGGAGGGAAGAGGGGAATGTGGGAATGTGGAATAAGGGGTGAGGGGTGAGGGGTGAGCGATGAGTGGTGAGGGGTGAATGAAATGGGGGTACGAGTTTTTATATTATGTATTCATTGTGGTGGATTAGATCTAGATTTTGGCTTTGGTTGAGTTAAGTTGACTTGAGTTGAGTTTTGATTAATTTGATTAGGTATGGTATGGTATGGTATGGTATGGTGTGTATCGTATTTGTATAGTCAAAAAGTATACCTGCCGCCCTCTGCTCACAGGCATGTCCTAGAAGGTGGTATGTACATGGTGATTGGTGGCTCATGTTTCGGTGGAGTGTTGTGTATTTTTTGGACGTATGAGTTTGGATGGATGGATGGGTGGATGGATGGATGATTTGGTGAAGTGGGATTGGGATTGGGATTGGGATTGGGATTGGGATTGGGATTGGGAATGGAGGGGTTTGTTCATTGGTGTGTGTGAGATTGTGAGGTTGTTATGTGTGTGTGTGTATGTGAGATTGTGGGGTTATTTTATGGGGGAGAGGAGGAAGGGAGGAGGAAGGGAGGAGGAAGGGAGGAGGAAGGGAGGAGGAAGGGAGGAGGAAGGGGGAAAGAGGGATATGGAATGAGGGGAGGAGAGGAGGAGGAGGAGAAGAGGAGGAGAAGAGAGGAATATATATTTCATGTATATATATTTCAATCAACCCCATAGGAATTATAGGATGAGATGGATAGGTGGTAGAGTATTCGTATCAGAAAAGAGAAATACCTGAAAGATATCGAAATCGGAAAACGAAAAGAAAAGAAGGGAATTTTTAGTGGGGTATGTATGGGAAGATGGGAAGATGTGCATATCTTGGGATTGATCACAGATTCTTGATTTGTTTTTGTGGTTTGGAGATTGGAGATTGGAGGTTTGAGAGGGGATTGAGAGGGGATTGAGAGGGGATTGAGAGGGGATTGAGAGGGGATTGAATTGAACTGATTGATAGGGACAGTAGTAGTGAGAGTGGTAGTGGTAGAGAGTGGTAGTAAGTGGGTGGGGATATATAATGTAAATGGGAGATGGATATCAGAATGGATATCAGAATGAATCATAAAATATAATTCCTCTGCATCTATCTATCTATCTGAATAGTTCATTGATATCGATATCGATATCAATACCAATAGATCATCGATATTCATACCTAGATTATACAAGTTCCAATCAATCACGAGATTAGCGATGATTAGATAGCGTTATTGTGTATTTGCATATTTAGTTAGTCTTTGTTATATATTGATCTTGGGCTTGGTTTGGGGGGGTTTGATTTGATGGAGGGGTTGAAGGATTGGGGATTGAGGATGAAATTATTTAGTTTATAGGTTTGTATGTATGTAGGTGGTGGTAGGTAGGTAGGTGATAGATAGGTGATAGGTAGGTAATAAATAAGTAATAAATAAGTAATAAATAAGTATTAAATAAGTATTAAATGAGTAATAAATAAATAATAGATAAATAATAGGTAGATAATAGGTAGATAGTAGATAAATGATAGTAAATTGAGTAGCGTTTTTGATCGATTAGATTAGAGATTGGAGGTTGGGATTAGGCATTTTATTTTGTTGTTGTATATCTGAATATTTAGGTACTATTATATTCTACTCGGATTTGATTTGATCGATTTGATTTAACAAAGTGAATGGAAAATGAAATCATTTAGTTCATAGATAGCTAGATTAGGTGATAATAGGTTAGGTAATGTTTAGCCGGTTGGAGGTTGCAGATTTTGTTGCGTATCTGCATATTTAGCCTCTTAATTATATTCCATTTTTATTATCGTTTGATGGAGATGCTAATTAGCTAGCTAGCTAGTCAGTTGCTTGGTTGTATTGATTATGTCGAGTTTATGAACATTCAGAGCTCCAGCTCTAGATAGATTTCCTTCAGCTGTGCAAATTAATTGGAGTAATTATGTTCCTACGAATCGCTGTGGTGAAATTGATGATCAACTTATTTGTTATATCGTATAAGGAGGAGCGTAGGAGGAAGCGAGAGGGGCGAGGTGTATGTATGTGTTGTGTCTTGTAATTATATAATGACATAGGTGTATGGAGGAGTAGGTCTTTACGTTTTGTTAGGAATGATAAGTGATTGATTGTTTGATGATTGTGTTGTTGTTATAAGGGTTGTATTTTCGATTTGTTTACTTAATTATTTAAATAATGATATCTCATTCTTCAAATCTGGTTAATTCTTTATAACTACCAAAGAGAGATCACCATTCTCATTCCGCAAATGTGGATGTAAAAATAATTCTAAGAAACCACACACTCCTAAAAAGATCCAACATACGCTCGCACCCAATAATCCATCAAACAACCTAAACTCCTCCTCCCATCCAAATCCAAATCCAACCCATCGAAACCCTATACAATCCCCTGTCTAGTTCTTTTCCAACCCTTCCTTCTTGTTAGCATTATTATTAGCAACAAAAACCCAACAAATCCATCTGTTGCACATCTACAATTTAGTTCGAAAGACTAATCATCCTTTTCCTCGCTTCATTACCTAGGTACCTATGTCCTATCGCTTTGTTGCGTATCTGATTTTTAGCTTGCATGTACTATTACGATATGGATATGGTAATTTTGATTAGATAGAGGTACTAGAGGGTTAGAGATTCTTTGTTGCACATCTACTTTTTAGTTCGAGGAGCTAGAGACTAGAGAGGTTTTTGTTATGGTGTGGTGTGGTGTGGTGGGCAGGGAAGGAGTGCGGGTTTGTGCATTTGATATTCTAGTTTTATTTTCCTGCGTCGATAGGCATATATTTATCTTATTATAGAGAAACTAGGGTTTGAAAATTCCTTGTTGCACATCTAGTTTTTAGTTCGAGGGACTAGAGAGGTTTTTGTGGTGGTGTGGTGGGAAGGGAAAGGGTGAGAGTTTACGTATTTGATATTCAGCTTGTGTGTACTATTACAGTACTATAAAGATAGTCATATTATTATAGGGAAACCAGGGGTTGGAGATTCTTTGTTGCACATCTTGTTTTTAGTTCGAGGGACTAGAGAGGTTTTTGTGGTAACAAGAAAGGGTAATGGGCGTTTGTTGCTCGTCTGGTTTTTTAGCCTCGATGAGCTTTGAGTGAAGATGCATGTTCATGGTTCTTTTGATCATGCCCCCACGCGGAGATGGGATTTTAGGTACCAGTACAGACGATTATTGTACATTTTAGATTTTAGTTTCAAGACTAGAGATACTTTGAGATTGGTACTATTGGTAAATGATCGAGATGGAAGATTGTGGGAGGCGTTGAGGAGGAATGTGATGAGAGAGTGGGATATTGTTGGTTAGTTGCTTGGTTGGTGATTGATTATCTACCAACTGGTGCTAAATCGCTTGCGGCGGCATTGCTTTGTTTATTTGGTGTTGGATTTGGCGGCGTGGATTTTTAGTCCTGAGGATGATCGCTCGTGATGAGATGCGAATTTGATTCCAGTAGTTTGCTTTTGGGTTGATGTTGGTTGGTATTGTTGCTGATGTTGGCGTTGGTGTGGTCTTGACTCAATCATTTCCATTGCGTTTTGCCGTTATGGTTTTGGTATTGGAGGCTATGTTGTTGTGTAACATGATTATTTTAGCTAATAATGATTCTGAAATTTGCCTAGTTAGTCATACTTTCGCTCATCCGGGATCGCATTAGTAGCTTATAATAGCATAATAACTATAAGCCCTAAAATCACCAACACGTCCCTCGGCCTCACCAATATCACTTTAGGGACATTAGGTACATTAGTTCAGGCCTCTAAGTTCAGGCACTTTAGGCATTCTAGTTAGACGAATTCAAGGCATGATGACCTAGTCTAGTGTTGGATCTCGCTTATCATTAGGGTCAATTATGCTTGCTAGGCGTGCGAGGTTAGGGGTTAGGCGGTAAGAGATGGTAGCTAGGCGGTAACAATAGGCAGGATTGGTACATGGCAACGACGCGCAATGAAGGTAACTAATTTTCCTAGTTGACAACTAAGCTGCAAATATTTTCAAAGCATGAAAATCTCATCTTAATTTATAATTAATTCACGATGGCTCGAGGACTTAAGTCATTGACTAATTGATCCACCTACGTATAACAAACAAAGTTACAACTTATCAGTAACGGTATTATTTTTGTATATTAAGCTATCAACAAACAATGATGTGTATTAGAACTATCGTCGTCAAAGCTAAGTATCCCTAATAATACATCCGATTAGATGCATATGATATGTACGTACAACTCTAACATAGTCATTTGATATAACTTTATTTTCCTCCCATCGTACATGTGCTCCTTACCTCGGCACGTTACTGATTCCCCTTCCTATTCCCCTTTATCGACTGCATGACCGTAAACATCCCAGCTGGCAGCGGCATCATCGTTAAGCCTTAACGTTTTGCCCGGCCCCATGTCCCCACTCCAGCCGTCCTGACCACACATCCCAGTGTTTTGTTTTGTTTCGCATCCAATTAGCCCCCGTTAGCTTCAGCCTTAGCTTCAGCCTTAGCCTCAGCCTTCACTCTGTTAGCCTTGCTTCATGGGTTTACTAGCGAGTATGTTTAGGGGCCTCGGATTTTTGTCCCTGCCAGCGTC